ATGTGCTTTACTGAGGATCAGAAGAACCAAAGTTATGGGGTTCTATTCGCAAAATGCATATCTGTGATAATCAATTCTGCTGTTCGGTTAAAAACAGCCGCGTGGGCAGTGAGTGTTACTGATTGGTTACCCTCCTTTTGGTCAGCAGTTCTTAGATAGGGATGACCGTTTACCACATATGTCACAAAGATGCTGTTTTGGTTAAAAAGACGGGTTGATAAAACAAGGTAGAAAGTATAATGTGAGAATGCACTTTAATAAGAGAGGTACATATAGAAGTAGAATCAAACAGCGGCAGGTATTTGTCACCTATAAGACTTAATCACTATTCTCAAGAATGATATATGAAATAAAACACACACACACACACACATATAAACACAATCTACCAATAAGTAAACAGACACCCACGAGAATGAAAATTGAACATCTCAATGACGTCATATGAAAATAATCACAAAGTATAAATACAAGTATATCTTAGTAAAGACCACAAAATACAAATAGGTATACCACGTTAAAAAAAAAGACTCTCAGGAATTAACAACATTTTCAGAAGTTGCATAGTTGGACGATGGGATGGCTGTAAAACATTGCAATAAATTGCCAATCCATTTGTATTACTGCTTCCCACAGTGAATAGTTTGGTAATACAGTACCAGTCATGTTGGAAAACAACAGTTTCTGGACAACCTGAGTGTCCAAAACCAACAGAACGGACTCTTCGTGCTGTGAGAAGTGTGGAGAATGACCAACTTACAACAACATCTATTGATGCAAGTGTGCTGCAATACCATAACCATCGTGAGCCTCTCTTCATTCCAGGCACTATCGTACGTCTTCAGCAATGGGCATCACAGATGTTGTGACACCCTCAGACCTTATGGGATAATAGACCGGTGTGGTGACCAGGAATTTTCGTCGAACTGTCTACAAGCCACGAAATAAACACAATGATACTTCTGTGGATGATTACATCCGGTACTACACAAAAAGACGATCACTGCTACATCACAATTCTCGAACAAGGCCTTCTACCTGTCTACGATAATGACCAACTTACTAGAAAAGGCACGAGACACAAAACCACGGAATGATGGTCACGGAATTACAATAGTTACCATCCTCTCGTGCCCCAATCCAATCCCCAGATGTGAGCCCTATGTGATCCACCCTTGATCGTTTCCTGTCAAAGCGTGTCAAACAAGCCACTTCTAGGGACGGTCTCACCCAAGGTTTTGACAGAAATGGGGTACAGTCTAACAGATTTCAGAGCTTGTAATATGATTTGTTACAGTGTTTCTTCCTTAAACATTGCAAAAGATGGATCCACTAATGTTTCGTGTTTGTGTATTTAGTAACATGGAGTAGGTGTTTACTTATTGGTAGGCTGTATTATAATATACATCTCTCTCTAAATATAAGTAGGTTTAATTTTGTAGAGAAGGGAAAAAAATAAAATAAATACATTAAAAGAATAAAATAAAAATAAAAATGCAGCCACAAAACGAATATCAAACATCGGGGCACAAATCAGAGGGTGGGCTGGTTTTTGAATTATTGAAATAAGCTACAAAATATTTTAAAAAACATATTCAAACCTTAGATAAAACATAATTAGGTTTATTTTTGTAGATTTCTTTTCTTTCCGTTTATTCCTGTCACTTGAAAGGAATTATTATTTAAATAATAGGAGGTTGCACCCACAACATATTCACCGATTGCAGCCAGTTGTACAATGAAACTGTATCATTGGAGATAATGGGTAAAGCTGAAGTTGGTAGTCCAGTGAAGAACTAATCATCAGTTAGTTGTAAGTGGTTTTATTTTACTTCACCTTTCCCCATTTTCAGTTTTACTTTGATAATTTTGCCTTACCTGTCACATTCTCGAATTGTAGCTTTTAGTGAGTTGTTGCGATTGATATAAAGGTCAAAAATGGGCAGGAGACATTTTGTGATACATTAACTAAGAACTTCTGGAGGACTACACAGTCTAACGTTTTAAGTGCAAATAGAATATAAGCTTTAACATAATATTTTGGAGGACTACACAATCTAACGTTTTAAGAGTAAATAGAAGATAAGCTTTAACATAATGTTCTGGAGGACTGCACAGTCTAATGTTTTAAGTGTAAATAGAAGATAAGCTTTAACATAATGTTCTGGAGGACTACACAGTCTAACGTTTTAAGTGTAAATAGAAGATAAGCTTTAACATAATGTTCTGGAGGACTACACAGTCGAATGTTTTAAGTGTAAATAGAAGATAAGCTTTAACATAATGATTAGTTTTCTGAAACAATTTGAATGCGATTAAAAACTACAAATACTTCCACCATATCAGAAGATAATCGAAGATTTATACAGTTATTAAACTGTATCAATACTGATATAACATCTTTATATTTTAACTTTTAAGCAGTTCTATGTAAAATCAGTATGATTTAATAAAATTATGACGTTTTCGCCAAAAGTCAGAATATAAGAAACAGTCTGGCTCTTTTTTTTTAGTTTTAGTTTCAGCGATACGTCTACGGACTTACAATGCTAAAATCCGTGGCTCTGTTCCCCGCGATGGGCACAGCAGATAACCCAAATGGCTTTGCTCTAAAGTCTAAACAAACAAACGAACGAATCTTTTTTTTCCTGAGATGGAAAAAATTATCCTTCATGATATGGCCTCCGTAC